CCCACAGATCCTCCATCCCACCACCCCAACCATCCCCACCACCCCGTGCTCCCAGCCCTCCGATGTCCCCGGGAAGCTGCCCTCCGTGCCCCAACACCCATTTTGCACAGGCACCCAGCTGGGACTGGGTGAGGCTCTGAGACTGGAAGGAGGATTTCAGCCTCTGCATGGCCAACCCTTGCTAAATTAGGAAGCACAGCGTTGGCAGCATGGTGTTGGCAGAGTTTTATACCCAGAGAGATGCCGTGAGTGGGCAGGAAGGGAAAGGATGCACTGGCAAAGTAGATATCCATCCATGCTCACTGGAAGAGAATATGACACCTTATCCAACGCTTTCTGTCCCAGCAAAGCCATCCCAGCCCCAGGGAGCTGGGGGGCTGCGATGCCCCGGCCGCGCAGGTGGAGCGGAGGAGGGCGAGCGGAAGGGAGGCAGCGGAAGCCTTGGCAGGGGGACAAGTCCCCTTGCTGGCAGGAGACAAATGGGGGGTGTTTCACTCTGCTGGCAGGCGGAAAGGAGCAGGCAGCCCTCACTGTCAGGAGTGGGATGCCACCGGCATATTAAGCGGACAGCTGAGCTCCTGCCTGCCCTCACAGAGGGGCTCAATCCTGCCAAACAGGAACAGGGAGGGGGGACAAGGACAAGACAATTTCACCAGCTGCGCTCTCCTTCTGGCTCACATCGTGGCCAGTGTTAGCTGGGCTGCTTGGCTCGTCCTACTGTGCCTGCAACAGCCCAGACCAGGAGGGTGCGAAGTGCTCATCCTCCTGGAGCTCGTCTCCTGCCAGGACACAACCCCAAAGCATCCTGGATTCATCAAACCCAGTTTGGGGACCATCAGGTCTGAGCAGGAAAGGGAAAAATTGTATCAGAGACCCCAACACTTAGGGATGCTGGAGATAGGGGAGTGGTCCCTGATACCCCCCCAAGATGTCTGTCCATGTGGGAAGGGGTTTTCTAAAGAATTTAATTCTCAAGAGCCCTGCCTCGCTGTCTCTCTGTTCTCTCTTTCCTTCCTCCACTTTCATTTTTCCTCTGGTTGACTAATACAATGGTAGAGTTTCATTGCCTGTACCTGGGGCTCATATCAGGGGCTTTTAACATGAAAAATGTTCTGTTTGGTCCAAAAAAAACCTTATGTGAAAGGGAAACTGCCATTTTGACTGCAATTTTTCTAAAGGCATGCAGGAAAGCAACAGAAACCTAAACCCCTGCCTCCCCATTTTGCAAAATCAAAAGAATTTGTCTTGGAAACATGATTTGGCTTGAGGTGTTGGCTAGAAAAGCCAGCATGTGGGGCTGTAATATTGAACAGATGAGGCAGGAAACCAAGAGAATGCACTTTTCTAGGTGCTGGGCTGCCAGCCGTGAGCTCAGCCCGGAGCTGAGCGTGCACATGGCAGCTGCCTTCCTCATCCCTCCTTTTCCTCTCCTTTATTCAGGGTTTGCTGAAAGATGAGGGCCTGGATTTTTTTCCTTCTCTGCCTGGCAGGCAAAGCCCTGGCAGCTCCGGTAAGTACAGGAGACAACTGAGCCTCTCCGCCGTTGGGGTTGTCCATCTGGTGTATCTGATGGGGAATTTCTTTTATAACAAATCCTCAAGAGATGGGAGGCAACGGGGGGGGAGAGGAAACCCAAGGGTGGCCCGGCTGCCTGCCTCGGTGGGTCACCTCCCTTGGGACCATCTGCCTCATGGCCCTTTTCCCTTGCAGCAGGAGGCTCTGCCCGACGAGACGGAGGTCATTGAAGACCCCACCACAGAGGTAGGTGACTCTGCTTGTTCTTGTCACCTATCCCTGGCAGCACCCACTACCCTGGGAAGAGCATCTCCAAAGCTTAGGGGGGCAGGGGCAATGGGGGGATGCTCTGTCCCCAGAAATGTGTCACAGCAGTTTGTACCCCCCCACCTGAAACACTGACCTCTCCTGCAGGAGCCTGTGGGGGCTAACCCTGTCCAGGTGGAGGTGGGAGAGTTCGAGGAACCCACAGAAGATGTAGAGGAGATTGTTGCAGAGAGTAAGTCACCCTTCCCCTGCCCTCTGGGAGGCAGGGACATCCTCCTTTCCCTGGGTGGGGGAGCTTTAGCCACCCCAAACAGTGGGAAGGGCTGTGGTGGGAAGGGCTGCGGCACAAGGAAAATGCCAACCTACCTGCACACTTAAAAGCAAAAGAGGTACCTGGCCTCTTTGCAGCACTGGATTCTCTGTAAGCCCTTTTTTTACAACACAAAAGCCATTGCTTTGTGTGGCTACAGAAAGGAGCCCAGGATTAGCCCAAAGGCTAATGCGGACTTCTGGAAACCCTCACATCTTCCCAGTGTAAGAGGAGATGCTTGGGGCTGTCCCTGGTCTTCCCTCTGTGCTGGGATGCCCAGGGCAGTTCAGGGGAAGTGAGAATGGGGCAGGATCTGACTTTGCTCCCTGCTCTCTCTCCCAGACCCCTGCCAGAACCACCACTGCAAGCACGGCAAGGTGTGCGAGGTGGATGACAACAACTCGCCCATGTGTGTGTGCCAGGACCCCTCCAGCTGCCCAGCCACCTCCGGTGTTTTCGAGAAGGTGAGGGCAGAAGCTGCTTTGATGGACCAGAGCAGGGAGGGACCTCACATGGGACACTGCCAGAGATGGTGGGGGAGATGGTCAGAGGTGGTGTGGCAGATCACCCTCTGGCCTCAGCCAGCAGTGACCAAGGAGCTATTGTTCACCCCAGGGACCAAGTGAAACATCTAATTTGGAGGCTCTCCTTGCTGACCCCCCAGCAAGGCTGGGCTTTGCTGCCCCTCACGCAGCATCTCCCCATCCTGTGCAGGTCTGCGGCACTGACAACAAGACCTACGACTCCTCCTGCCATTTCTTTGCCACCAAGTGCACCTTGGAGGGAACCAAGAAGGGACACAAGCTGCACCTGGACTACATTGGGCCTTGCAAATGTAAGTGGAGCCATTCCCTTAGCCAAGGGGACCCCTAACCTGAGCACAGGCCCCTTGCCCATGGGCTGAGGAAGAGCAAAGGTCCAGGAAGATGCAGGACCGAGGTGGGAGGGCGCTGGGGCTGTGTGTCCAGGTGCTGTGCTGACCACTGGGTATGGGTTCCAGTCATCCCCGCCTGCCTGGACACAGAGCTGACCGAGTTCCCCCTGCGCATGCGGGACTGGCTCAAGAACGTGCTGATCACCCTGTACGAGCGCGATGAGGACAACAACCTGCTGACTGAGAAGCAGAAGCTCAAGGTGAGGGGTTGGGGAGGGAGCCTGGGAGCTCACCTCACCACCGGAGCCCAGCACTCATGGGGAGCCCATCCAGAATGACTGGTGGGCAGCCCATGTACAGCCCCTCCTGGGGTCCCTCCTTGCACCCCGTTCTGCTGCTGACAAGGTCTCCCTGGCCTCTCCTACGAGAAGCGCCTGGAGGCTGGTGACCACACTGTGGAGCTGCTGGCCCGCGACTTCGAGAAGAACTACAACATGTACATCTTCCCTGTGCACTGGCAGTTCGGGCAGCTGGACCAGCACCCCATCGACGGGTGAGTGTTGGGAGAGCGGGAGGGGGGCATCTGCCAGGACCCCTTCCTGTCCAAGGACAAGGGTGCTTTGGTGGCAGAAGGTGTCAAGGCTGGAGATGTGACACAAGTGGATGACTGGTGGCAGAGGCACAGGCAAAGCCCTGTGGCGGGACAACCCCTGCACACATCTGGCAGGGACTGGGGCAAACCAGGCTGGGGTAGAGGCAGTTTTCTCTTCTGCACACCAA